GGGGGGGGGTCTCGGGGGAGTTGTGCCTGGGATAATCTCCAACGCGCTCTTTGAGGCCTGAGGAGCGGCTGATTGTATGGGTATTAACTGCAATTGTGTTCATGGAGTTGATTCGGGAGTGGGATAGGTAACTCCTAGCGCGCACCGAGGGTCAAGGGCAACTGATCGTATCATCGAACAATCAATTACAATTCCACTGATTGAGATATCATCGGAGACGTAATGAAAAATGATGAATAGTGTCGGGGAACGCGGTGCAAACGGGGTCTTCAAGTGCATCATCGTTTTCGCCGTTACCAACACCCACTCAGTTCACTGAAACGGCGGAAGACCCATGATGCACGATCAGAGCTAATTTCAGATGATTTTTGTCGAAGTGATAGCGAACCCGTCGATGGCCATGCCGAATCTCATTGACGTCATCGAATTGGCGAAGAGGAAACAAGTGGGTTTGCCGGAGGGTTTGGTTTGAAGCGACGGAGCCCTCCTCATTCTTTGGCTGTACTCGTATAGAGTTTTCAGGTGCTGAGCTTCGTGGATGCGACGTTCGCCTCACCGATTTGTGTCCAGCCGATCGTTCTTGGGGCTGATTTCTCTATGCACAGCTGGTGAACAGTAAATTCAAGAATTTAGTCGAAGAACTACTGCCATGAACAAAGATTAACCTAAATTTAGATGACCCAGTTGCTTTGAGAAGTGCTTTTACTGAAATCAGAGGAATTTCGAAAAGATGAAGTGTTCTATTTTATCGCAAAATTCTCTAAAAAACTTGCTGGAGGAAGAAGTTCCTGCTTCCCGTGGAGCGAACAGAAACCATTCTTTTGGGAGCCAGAAATTCTGGCTCAACCACTTGCGTGGACTCTAGGAAACACTTGTGTACCAATTTTGGAAACACTGGCACTCTTAGAAACTAGCCTTCGAAGCCTGGTGCTAAGGGAATGCAATTTTCTGGGAGCAAAAATGTAGAAACTTTTGCTTTTTGTAAATCTGTTCAGTTCCGGTAATTGCCTTGAGACCGGATTTGGACCGGTATAGGGATCTGTTCACAGGCAAACAAACTTTTTGTTTTGTCATGTATCCACTGGGAACTTCTGATTGTCCAGGGCCTGGGCTGAAACTGCTATTCCCATGACAGAAATGGCTGTCACAAGTTGAAATAATTTCAAGCTGTTTTTCACTCAGGGGAAATATCAGGTGAAGTCTTGGACTGATTTTAAGGGAAGCCTTTCAAACTCTCGTACCAAAATTAATTGAGAGAGAGGTGAGAACATGGTCACTTCTATCAGGTCGACTTTCCCTCCCATTCTAGATAGTGCAACTGTGCAACAGCTTGGCTTCCGCCTTTGCAGTCCATCAGCTTGGTCTCCAGTTTGCACATTACTCCGTAGGGTTGCATCTGACCGTAGCGAAGTCAGCTGATGTTTTCATACTGAAGACAGACACAACAAACCAGCCACCAGCAAATACAGTGGTCATGTCGTTCATTGGGCCCCCATATAGGAGTGGTGAATGGAAACAATCTCCCAGTTCTCAAGCTTGCCATGGTTCCCTCCCAGCCATTAATGATCGATAAGGGTAATGAACCAACAAGGTAGCCTAGGGAGTCTCCCAATGTCTTGGTCTTACAGTTGGTTTCGCTTAGATAATTTCTCCTACAAGAGGTTCACCAAAGGAAAATAGGTTCAGGCAAGATGTAGGAATGGCTGAAAGGAGTTGGTGGTCGATAGGGTAGAGAGTCCGTCTGACACTGCTGTTAATATTCAAGCCTCTGATAACATCAATAGTCTCCGTCTTGCATTCATATTTTCTTTTGCAATTTTTGAACCCTGTAAAACGGCTTGTACTCCATGGGGATCCACATACCCGGCCCAAGAGTTCAGAGAGGTTCCATTCCGGCCGGTACACATTACTCTAATCGAGCAAAAAAGAAAAAACTGCCCTAGCCAAATACTGGGAACCCTCCTACGGACCCCTTCCTAATGGTCGAATTTTAGCTGTACATGGGCGATTCTCGTACTTTTCATGAAGTTTTAGGGAGGAAATGGCAAAGTCCAGGCGTGACATGTGATAATCAACTCCAAAAATCTGCAAAAACTGCCGATTACAGCATTTTCTAATTTTTTCAAGTCTTTCGAGTGAATTCTTTCTCACTTTTTCGCTTATACTCTTGATTGTGAGGTTGTCTGAAACTTCTTGTATGAAAGTCACCTGAGAACCAAATTTTTCTCGAATTCAGCTCGAAGTACATTGGAGGACATGCAGATGTGATTGGAGGATGCGTAACAACTCGTACACTTGACCAATGGAAACGCCTTAAACTACAGCAACTTACCACCGGCAGTGCCTTGGTAGGTATGGGTCATTGCACAGAAAAACCTAAGAGATCTGATTAATCCCTTTCTTTTAGTCGCCATTCGATGCCGCTCTGTTGGCTCGTGGACTGAAGACCTTGCCATTGCGAGTTGATAAGATCTGTTCAAACGCTCACCACATTGCGCAATTCCTTGCTAAGCATCCGAAGGTGCAATTAAAATACTTTTATGAGTTTTGTGACAAGTAATTTGGACATAGGGAATTGTAAAGGGTAAATAGAAGG